TGCACGCATGTGTGTACACATATATACACATTTCAGGAAACTGAGTATTAATGGATCAAGTTTACTTATTTATATTATACCAAATTCAGATATTTAAAAATAAATAGATAAGTAGTTGGAATTTATCTTTTCTATGAGGAACTAATTTATTTTTGTAATATTATTGTCAGATCTATAGAAAATGGCACATATCAGCTTTCCTTCAAGTTGCAATTATCAGTCACCTTGAAATCCCAGAGGGTACTTGTTACAATGCATATTCCTGGGCTCCCCCTAAGAGTCTAATTTAGACCATCAGAAGTTGGGGGGGGCTTGTTCAAAATATAGCTTATTCAGAAAGATTGCAGAAAATCTGAGCTAATGGGGGTTAGGCTTTGAAAACATATTTGCTTCCCAAACCTTCATGTGAATACTGATCACTTAAATTGCAGATTTTATTGAGAAGATGTGGGGTGGGGCCTGAGATCCTGCGTTTGATTCTCATCCAAGGCATTTTGGGTAGCAAGCCCCTGGAGAAGCAGATTTAAAGGGTGATCCATTTTGAGTGACAGCAGTTCTGATAACCTTGTGCTGAAGGGATTAAGGAAACTGGCTTTACACACAGTTCTCTTTTGTAGGATCCCTTTATACTTATCACAAACATTCACTCTTTTTAAAAGAATTTCATGCATATCTCAATCTATTTAGTGTACACTGTGGGGTAGGCATCTAGTATGGGGTGAAGCTCATGCCTAGCCCTTGTGATAGTAGGAAGTAACACAGACAATTTTTGTTGTATTAAAACTCATACTGAATGATGAGTTCTGGATGGCAAAAAATGATTGATTTTTTTGCACCTATATCTAGTCTTTGTCCACAAATTAAAAACAAACACAAGTGTTCTACATTTAAAAAAAAGTGTGTGTGTGTGTGTGTGTGTGTGTGTGTGTGTGTGTGTGTGGTCTGTGTCCATCTATTTATTTTCTCCCCCTTTCAGCAAAACTCATCCCCTATTCTTGTGCACCCACTTCAATTAGGCATTTATGCTCCTTTTATCTAAAGGCTCTGCTCAATTTTTATCAATTACAGTTTACATTTGATATTATTTTGTATTAGATTCAGCTGTACAACATAGTGGTAAGACAATCAAATACTTTATAAAGTGTTCCCCCCTGGTATTTCCAGTACCCCACTGGCACCATGGTTATTACAATGTTATTGACTATTAGAGGCCTGGTGCACAAAATTCGTGTGTGGGTATGGTCCCTAGGCCTGGCCTGCAATCAGGGCCATCTTCCCCAACTGCCCGCAGCCAGCCCCGTCCCTGCCACTACCCACCTCCAGTTCCCCATTCTCCATCAGGTGATCAGAGTCTGCCGGTTGGTGGGAGGAACTAACATGTTGGCTGTTCCGCCTGCTCGCCAGCCCTGCCCCCACTGCGGGTTGTCCTCTCTGTGTGGGGTGACTAGTGGGGCGGGGGCCTTGGCCTGGCACCACCTGCATCCCCTGCCACCCACCCCCGGTTCCCTGTTCTCGCCATTGGGCGATCAGAGCCTGCCAGCTGGGGAAAGAGACTGAGAGGTGGTCAGTGTGCTTCATAGTGACTGGTTGAGTGGTCGTTGGTCATTCTGCCATTAGGGTTAATTTGCATAATACCCTTTTATTATATAGGATAGAGGCCTGGTGCATGAGTGGGGGCCAACCAGCCTGCCCTGATGGGTGCCCTAATCGGGGTGGGAGGTCCCCACTGGGGGAGCAGGGCTGGCCAGGGCGAGGGGCTGCGGGTGGCTTTCAGGCCGGCCACACCCCAATAGGGGCGAGGGTCCCTGCTGGGAGGCTGGCCGGCCAGGGTGAGGGGGTGGCAGTTGTTCTGGTCTCTAGTCATTCTGGCCGTTCCACCATTTTGGTTGCTGGGCTTTTATTATATAGGATAGTCCCTCTGTTGTGCTTAACATCCCTGTGACAGTTTTTGTAACTACCAATCTGCACTTCTCAACCCCTTAATCTTTTTCACCAGTCCCCAAAGCCCCTCCCTGTTGGCAACCATCAGTCTATTCTTTGTATCTATGAGTCTGTGTTTTGTTTATATTGCTCTTTAGCATCCACATATAAGTGAAATCATATGGTATTTGTCTTCCTCTGACTGACTTATTTCACTTAGCATAATACTTTCTAGGTCCATCCATGCTATGTCAAATGGTAAGATTTTATTCTTTCTTATGACCAAGTAATATTGCATTGTATATATGTACCAACACTCTTTTATCTACTCATCTATATGGGGTGCTTCCATATCTTGGCTATGGTAAGTAACACTGCAATAAACATAGGGATGCATATATTCTTTGATAATGTTTGGGGTTTCTTCGGGTAAATCCCCAGAAGTGGAATCACTGGGTCATAAGGCAGATCCATTTTTCTTTTTTCTTTTTTTTGAGGAAACTGCACATACTGTTTTCCACAGTGGCTGCACCAATCTGCATTCCCACCAACAGTGCATGAGGGTTCCCTTTTCTCCACATCCTCACCAACACTTGTTGTTTGTTGTTTTCTTGAGGATAGGCATTCTGACAAGTGTGCAGTGATATTTCATGGAGATTTTAATTGGCATTTCTCTGATGCTAAAGATTCTCAGTTCTTTGATGAAGGAATCTAGCAGAATCATCAGATGTATCATAGCTTTACTGATAAAGAGAGGAGAAGGAAATCTTGCAGTTCTTTTGGCTTAAGAAAGAGAGCCCCATTTTTATTTAAGTTTCTGGAGAATAGAGATGTTATTTTAATATCATTACCATAGAAAATTGAAACAACAAGAAAGAACTGTAGAGTTTTAGGTATTAAAGATAATATTTCTCAGGACTATATGATAACCTCTTCAGCAATATGTTGATATACTTACTATATACGTTGTGTAAATAATACTTCAAGGACAGTTTTATAGTTTTAGAAAAGTCAAAAAGAATTATACATTCATACAAGACTTCACATAAGACAGGCAACAAAGATGACTCCTTTTGTGGTCGTTTTCAAGTTATTACCTTATAACTGGTTTTATGATGTAGAATGCTGTCTGCTTGCCTGCTGCTCTGAGGGAAGAGAAAACATGCTCTCCTTATGCATTTTGAGATTCTTTTCACCATCGGGGACTGCAGTTTCAAGGGTAAGCACCACAATTAACATAGTGTGAGCCAAATGAAAAAGCAGGCCCAGGAACCTTTAAATGTGTTGAAGAATAAAGGGCAAAAGAGAATTCTAAAAAGCTGAACTAGAAGGCATGTACTATAGAGATTTGCTTTTACGGACACTGATAAGCTTTAAATGTCAGCCTAAGGTCAATTGTCAGTCCTCTCCTGATCTCTCAGCAACATTGGGCTCATGTCATCGTGCTTTCCTTGAAACCGATTAACTTCAGGACACACTCTCTTACTTCCTCTTCTACTGCACTGGCCACTCCTTGTTCATCTCCTTGGCAGTCAGGTCTGATTTTTATCTTCCTGACTTTTAAAGGTTGAAGTGCTTTGGAGCTGTGTACTATATCCGGACCTTCCTCCTATTCAATCTACCTGTACTCCCCAGGTGATCTCACCCAGTTCCATGGATTCAATACCAACCACTCCCTTGAGCATCAGATTCACTTTATCCTATTGCCTGTCAACCTCTCTTATGGGTGTCTAAAAGACTTGTCAAATTTGACAGATCTCAGCATAAATTATTAATATCCTCCTCACTCCAAACCTGCTCTTCTTTTCACTAGTTCCCATTTTAGTATGTGGCAACCCTATTCACCATTTTTGCTTGTTCCCTTTTTCTCACATCTAACCCATGAGGAAATTGTCAGTTCTACCATCTATATATGTCTAGAAATATCCAGCTGGTGTGGCTCAGTGGTTGAGCATTGACCCATGCACCAAGAGGTCCCCAATTTGATTCCCACTCAGGGCACATGCCCAGGTTTTGGGCTCGATCCCAACAGGGTGGGTGCAGGAGATAGCCAATCGATGTTGATGTTTCTCTCATTGATGTTTCTCTCTCTCAAATCAATAAAAACATATTAGAAATATATATCCAGAAACATATGGGGACACATAATCTCACCACTCCCATTAAAACTATCCTAACCAAAGACATCTTTATTTTTTAATGGACTTTGCCCATATAGAGATGAAACTGGTCTCACATCCTCATCCCCTTGAGTCTACTATCAGATTGTCTCTTTACCAAGATAACAGTTAAGTTGATCCTTGTGAAATACAGGGTGGGGCTAAAGTAGGTTTATAGTTGTGAGTTCACAAAACAGAGTTTATTCCTGTATTATTATTTATTAATTATTGTATTATATTTTATATGGACAACTATAAGCCTACGTTTGCCCCACCCTGTATAAGTCCGATCCCATCACTCCTGTGTTCAAAGCCTTTTAGTGGCTTCCTATGTTACTTAGAGTAAAATTTTAATTTCTAACCATATAAGCCCTACATAAACTTTCCCCCTACCCCATTCTTCTGTCTATCTGCCTGCTCCCTTCTCTCTGATTTTCAACTCATTTGTGCTTTGCTTGAGCCACACTGGTTCACACTTCACCTCCCACTTTTTTTTTCTTTAAACAGGCCATATACAGATATACCTCAAATCCTTCTCACTTGCAATTTTCTGCCTGGAATGCTATTAGCTCAGATATACTAGCTTACTTCATTCAGGTCCCCACTAAAATGTGACCTTATCAGATATTTCTTTCCTCTTAACAGTATCTTTTGTTGTTGTTGTTAATCTTCACCTGAGGATATTTTTCCATTGATTTTTAGAGAGAATGAAAGGGCGGGGGGGGGGGGGGGGGGAGAGAGAGAGAGAAATGTCAATGTGAAACAGACAAATCGATTGGTTGCCTCCCGCACATGCCCTAACTGGGGCCAGGGATGAACTTGCAAACCAGCTATCTGCCCTTGACTGGGAATCAAACCTGAGACTCTTTGGTCTTCAGGCCGATGCTCTGTCACTGAGCCACACTGGCCAGGGCTTAACAGCATCTTTATAAATAGCAGCTTCTGCCCTTATTCTGCAGTATTTTTCTTCTTAGAATTTTTCATCACCTGACACATTACTTATGTACTTGTTTAGTTATTATTTCTCTTTAGAATAGAAATGTAAGCTTCATTAGAGCAAACATTTTGTTGCTTTATTCACTGCTATATTTCCAGCACCTTGAATAATAACTTCACCCATATCAAGTGCTCAAAAAAATGTTTGTTGAATGAATGGATTTGAAGACTTGCAAAAGCTCTTGGTGCTTTATTTATGAATGTTTTTATACATAGAACAAAATTGAAAGACTTTTGCCTTAAGCACTTATGTTTTCAGCAGCTGTGCTTATTTTCATCACATATCTATGTACCTATTTTTTCTTTATCCATCTACTAACCCATCTTATTTTTGGCCATATTTCAATGCAAACTAATGACCTCTCTACACTTGCCCTTAATTCAGCATGAAGTTTGTTAATTCAAGTTGAATATTTATTTACAGTTGTTTTTGTTTTGCTATAAAATTTATACAATTAAATATATAAATCTAAAGTATGCTTTGCCTACATTTTGGCCTGTGTGACCCAAACTTCTATTAAGGTAAAGAATATTATCGTTTCGGAAATTCTTTCATACCCTTCCCAGTCAGTTTCCCATTCTCCACCCTGTGGCAACAATTGTTCTGATTGTTTTTTCCACCATGGCTTTTAGAATTTTAAGTAAACTTAATCACACAGCTATAGTCTTTTCTGAAAAAGTCTTTTTCAGTGAGCATAATGCTTTTGAGCTCATCCATGTTGTATGTATTAGTAATGCTTACATTTGATTGCCAGACATGTGAAGATCTGAGTTTGTTTACTTATTTTCACACTGATGAACAACTG